AAGACAGATGAAAAACCATTCCTGGCTACCACAGACCCCTACCATATTAGATGTATATTCCGCATCTAGTACTATATGGACTATGACACGAGGTTCTCTCATGATGCTCGCTTCCCTGAGGATACTGAGATAGTATAGGTCAAAGGTATGTGATTCGCTTCAATTCAGGGTTCGGCAGGACTAACCGAGTGGAATCTTTCTAGACCTTTTCGCCTCTAAAAATAGCGAATCTTGGACAAATTTAGATAGAATATCCACAAATTAATACCTGTAGGGCTGGAGTGAATATGGTGTATCCACCTTCGGCCTAGAATAAGGCCTATTAGGCCCAGAACGGACTCAAACTTAAGGGGGGGTCTTATCTTGCCAACAGTTACAATAGGTCCCCATATAAATTAGGTGGGACAGCATTGTATCGAATGGCACTCTACTACTGAAACTAATGCTAATCAGGTCACCGCCTTCTGGGCATCGTCAAGTCTCGAAATAAGTGTTATAATGTGTATTATCGTGTGTTTTTTTTTAAGGGCATATCATAAGCCACCCCCAAAAGTAATATCTTAAAAAAAGGCCTTAAAACACGCAAAAATGGCAAGAAATTTCACGCTATACCTATAGCAGTTAAAGTATTGCCTAATTTCGCGCGGTACATACGGACAGGGGTCTTAAACGAAATCTCACTGGTAAGTGGGGCAAACTGCTTCCTAAAGAGGCATAACGTGAATTGAATTTAATTTTTCAAAAAGATAAGCCCTGTTTTTGATTTAAGACCCCCCCTTAAGTTCGAGTCCGTTCTGGGCCTTAGTTAGAAGCGTCTTTCGACGAATAAATGACCAAATAGAATTGAGAAAATCATAAGTGAGAATTCTTACCACAAATGAATTGATATCAGCTATATGTGAATCACTAATGTTATCGACGATGTTAGATGGGATGCGCAATCTTCATTCGACAGTCGTACTGAAATTACTCCGATACTAATCGCATTAAGTAACGCGTAAGGCACAGCTGGTGCTGGGATTCTATCCCGGAAAAAAGAAATTACCTCTCCCTTTTCCAAATATTAAGGATGTCTGTCTACTCAATAAATCAATCTCTCCTCACGCGTCGTCGCTTCCAAATCCAGATCTCATAGGTGATATCAATCTCGCAGCTTGGCAAAGATGGGCAACCAATTCCCAGTACAAGGAAGAACAGTAGTAATCACGGGAGGCTCACGTGGGACAGGCTTGGCAGCCGGTCGACAGCTAGCTGAAAAGGGCGCCAACGTCGTCATTGTCGCGCGCGACCAGGAGAAGCTGCTTCAGGCAATCGAGCATATACAGGCATGTTGCCCTCCTCTTTTTGCGAATGAGAATAGCGAGATGCTAAACATGACAACAGCAAGGGGCGGCTGACCCTCAGACCCAGCGATTCCTGCAGATAAGCGCCGACCTGACCTCGCCTGATGAATCCGTCCGCATCATCGAACAGGTCACGGCATGGAACGCGGGAAATCCGCCGGACATCGTGTGGTGCTGCGCGGGCAGCTCACACCCAACGCTGTTCGTGGACACGCCCATAACAGCTTTCCACCAACAGATGGACAGCAACTACTTCTCTAGCATGTACATGGCGCACGCCACGCTACGTGGCTGGCTTAAGCCGGCGCAGGAGGCCGCCGCCGCCGCACCCTCCACAACCACCCGCGGTCCAACACCATTCGCGCGTCACCTCATCTTCACGTCATCATTCCTCGCCTTCTACAGCTTCGCTGGGTACGCGGCCTACAGCCCGACGAAGGCGGCGCTACGCGCGCTCTCGGATACCCTGTCGCAGGAGATGAACCTATACGCGGCGGCACACCCAGCCGAGCCGCGCGTGCGGGTGCACACCGTGTTCCCCGCCACCATCCTTACCGAGGGCTACGATGCCGAGAACATCGTCAAGACGGACCTGACCAAGAAGATCGAGGAGGTGGACGAGGGCCAGACGCCCGAGGTCGTCGCCGCGAAGGCCATCAAAGCGCTGGAGGCCGGACACGAGCTCGTGACCACCGATTTTCTGACGGGCTTGGTGAAGCGCGGCATGTTGGGAGGTAGCTTGAGGGGAGGCGTGTTACGGGCGCTGGTGGATTGGTTCTTGGCGAGCATCATGGCTATCGTGATGATTTTTGTCAGGCACGACCATGACCAGCAGGTGAGGGCTTGGGGTCGGAAATTCGGTTCCTCGGGCATGAAAACCGAGGAGAAGCGAGTGTGAGTGCTAAACGGGGCAGTTCCATGTTTTGGGTATGGTTCAATCTTCCTTGTCGTTAAATTTTTAATTACCTTCCCAGGTACGTAATATTATTTAAGCAGCTCGGTCGAAAAGGGGCGGGACGCGTAATCAAATTCACTTTATCAATATCATCGCCAAACAATATCACATTAGCCTAGGTATTAAAGACACTTATGCCACCGCGTATCTTTCTTTGAACACCAACACATCATCCTCATCGACCCTTACCTGCTCCGTCCAGAACCTAACCTCAACGCCAAACTCCTCGGTGTCGGCCGCGATGAGCGCGCTAGTGCTATTCGCCCACTCAGCAAGCACCACATCCTCATCTGCGCCGTACCAAGTGATCTCGTAACCCTCGGCGCGCGGGTACGGGACCTGGCGGAACTGGGCCAGCGGCAGGAGCTCCAGGGTCACGTTCGTCGTGCCGTCTGCCGCGGCAATTTGCGTGAGGTTGTCGATGAGCGAGACCGAGCTAAGCAGGGATATCCAGAGCCCCTCGATGCAGGCCGAGCAGAAGTTGCCCGTGTATGTGCTGCGCATCAGACAGAGGTCGTTCGTCGGGCGGTACGTGGTCCTGTTGGAGGATGAGAACCTGGGGAGAGGTCAGTTGCGAAACTCGGGTAGAGGAAAAGGGGCACCCGATAGGCACTTGGGTACTGACGTGGGATATAATCCATGGTAGGTCGGGTCGAAGTTAAACCTAAATCACTATGAGCAGCAAGCATCGACCAGGGCAGTAGACAGCTCACTCTTCCTCATCACCATACTCCAACACCTCCAGATTACATAACTGCGCCGTACCCTCAAGCTCCTCATTCAACAGCGTAACCGTGATTTCATGCTCACCCGGAGCTAGGGCTTTTTCGATAGGGATATTATATATATACCGATCTACTCCCACCGCCGGGTTGATCTGCCAGCCGACATCCTTACCATCAATATCGACACGCAAATCCTCGCTAGCTGTCATGCCGCTCACGCTAACCTGCAGCAGGTGCGTGGTATACGTGCCGGCCGACGTAAAGCTCTGGCTCCACGCCTGCGACACGTTCAGCAGCGTCCACGGGTACGCCTGAATTGGCATGTTGGAGCGCTCGACTTTCGGCTCCGCGGACGCGTTTGTGTACCACTGCGTCCAGGGCGCCGTGGTTGGTGTGCGTGCTGCGTTCACGCCCTCGTAGACTTCGCCGCCGTCGTACTCCTCGCCAACCCCGATAATAGAGTGGCCGAGCTCGTGGCGAAGGACCGCCGGGCCGCTGTTGGGGGAGGCCGTGGTAACGCTAGGATTCCAGTGAGTAGTGAGTGGACAAGAAATGGGGATGGTGTTTAGCTTACGTGAATGTGCCGCCCAGCCCTCCGTAGAAAGGGTCATTTCCTAGGAGGATCGGGTAATCGCAGGTATCTGTGGATTGGCACGCGGCGCGTGCTACCTCGGGCTTGTCGTAGTATAGACCACGCAGCTCGGTGCCGTCGCGGTAAAGTCCGTATACGGTGCTATGTCGTACATTCTAAGTTATCCCAGCGAGCTCAAAAGCCTCAGGGGCAATGCAGTACTTACTCTAGGGGCGTTCCATAGGTGCCGACGCCACTCTTCCAAAACGTTGGAAATCCGTACAGTATACATCGCGGAGCGCATTACATACCTCAACACTGGGAGAGAAGCCCGCCCAAAAATTCATCAAAGGAACCACGTCAACGAATGTTTGGCCATCAGTTACATTATTGGCAAGGTACAGGGCGTCGGCGAAGAACTTGTCCTTTTCATCCTCCGTGTCTGGTCGCACCCAGCGGTAGGTCAGAATTGGTGTAACTCAACCAACCAGCCTCTCAGGGACACCAAGGCCGTGCCTTGTCGCGTACTCACATCCGTCACCTAGGAAAAGGAAATTGACGCGGTTGCTCGTCGGCCCGCTCACGATAAGAGGCTGGATTTCAAGAGGCGGCGCGGGGGTGTTCTGTCTCGCATGTAGATACGGAATGCCGTCGACGTCGTGGGCTGCGAATTTCCCCGACCATTGGTGCTCGCAGAACTGTGTGAGGGCGACACGGACTGTCGCAGCTCCGACAAGGAACTTCTTCAGGGCGTTCATAGTAGGATAGATACGGGCAAGTAGGGAGCACGGGTCGCTGGAGGTCTATCGATGCCGGACCATCATTTATACATCCCCGCCATCGCGTACACACGGCCGGGTCTCCGCATGTGTAGGTGTGCGTGCCAATTCGACCTTCCGGAGCGGGCCAGGTGGGATCCTTGTAGCTCTTCTCCAATTCGACCGCTTGAGACCTACTCATGCTGGTAGGTCTGCCGGCCCAGTATCTCCAAGTCTCCTATCTTGCCAAGAGTATAAGGAGTAACATTCAACTGATTACATTTATCCATGCCAAGCCCATCAAAGAAACCTTTTTATAAACCCGTGTACGAGTTATTCTAGTCTTTATCTTAAAGGTTTCTATCAGTATCTCTTTCGTGCCTGCGACTGATTTTCCCAACCAGGCGCCCTCCATCACGAGGCGCTCATTCAGACTATGGCTAGAATATCTACCTTATAGGTAGTTATAGTAAATTGTTCTGTCCCTAGCCACATCCTAGTCGTCGGCGTACAGTTTGCTAGATTGATTATACGTGAAAACGACAGATTTAGTCGTTCCAAAGACAGCTCTACGGTATCTCAGTAATTCACAGACGAGCACAAAGTGTGTTTTTTGGCATGCCAAAGGGAAACAGGGGAAAAAATGAGTTCTGAATCGGGGAATCGAACCCCGGGCTTGACTTGTCACAATTGCTTGGGAGCGTCAAATGTTAGCCACTACACTAATTCAAACATCATGAGGCTGAGGGTTAAAGGTGTGATAAGTTGAATTGAAAAATTCTAATACACAAATATACAGACAACTCAAGAAGAGCGACTGATTTAGCGTGAGCCGAGCACAAGGATTTGAAATTTATAGCTTAGATAGACTATTGATATAAGGCCAACCAAGCGATAGGAAAAATAGTGGCATTATTGCACGAATAGGTATACGAGCCTAACAGCTAGCAACTCCGTTGTATATCTCTTGCCATGCCTCTCTCGCTACTCCTAGCCTCGTATATAACCAATATTTTCGTCCTAGGAGTCATGACATAAAGCCTAGTAACAACAGCTTTAGCTGGATGGGAATGAGATGAGTACAAGCAGGTGAAGATAAAGAAAACTTCCAGGTGGCCCTTTCCTGAATTCATCATATAGAAGTACGTGTGAATGACGCCGACGACATTGCTTTGAGTAAGCGCATCTATCTGGGACTTACAGAGCCCGGACTCGCCTTGTCTTATTTATTAAAAAAAGAACTTGTTGTTATAAAATGGTAATCGATATGAAAATAATAAATGTCGCTATTCTCTACCCTCTAGTGAGTATATGGAAATCCAGCCTCATCTTTGAAATGAGTCATAGAACCGGCGCCCTAAGCATATGAGAGGAAAATGTGCACAATCGGTGCGTTGTTTCACAGAGTTCATGGTGGATTTTTGAGCTGCTAGTAATTGAAATCGATACAAACCATGAATCCAGGTCCTGGTGGTTCGGTGTGGTAGCATTAGGATTATTAGTCTAAGTTGACTGCTTCTTGCTGTCTATTTCTCTATTCCCTGTAGTTCTCTTGGTTTTCCCTTCAGTCTATGTATACCCTGATGTTGTGTTGTGTCCTGTGCCTAACCCGCTGCCTCAAAGAGCAAAACCCAATCCGTTGTCTGAAAAGAGAAACGCGTAACTCGCAAAATCACAATAATGCCCGCTTACCCAGAAAACACAAAGCCGACCTCTCCATTTTTTCTTCACTTATCCTCAACATCCCTGAACCAAACGTGGTTTAAGGCTTCCTGCGCCGTAACCCTCTTGCGAGGATCAAAATTCGTCATCTTCTTGATGAGGTCCTTGAAATCCGGCTCGAGCGCGTCGCTCTTCCATAGTGAGAACGGTCGCCGAGGGTTCTCGGTGCCGAACGTATTCGCCATGCGGCGCAACTCAGGAATATAGCGGTGCCTCTTACCCAGGTAATCGATAAAGGATTCGAAATCACTCCACTCGGCGAAGGTGGATATTTGGCGCTCCAGGATTGCATTCGTTAAATCCACATTGGGCGCGCTGTCAATGCGGAAGATGACCATTTTTAAGCGCATGAAAATGAACTGGTTTCGGCGTTAGTGACAGCTCATTACGGGTAACAACATAGTGCAATTTTAAAGACAGATTGCAGCGATCCAACATAATCAAAATCAAACTTACTACGAGCGCTAACGAAAAGATGTCCGATGGCTTGCCTACTGCACCCTGGACGTGAGCTTCTGGACTACGCCAGAATTGGTTGCCGACTTGCAGGCCGCGCAGAGCCTGCCCCGGCGGGATATGAGTTGAGTCCTCCAAGTCGGATAACTGGGTCCGGTCGACAACGATTCCTTCTGGAGTCTCGTGGTAGTCGATCATGATGTTGTTGGCTTTGATGTCTAGTAAAAGAGGCCACGTCAGACGTAAAATCCGAGCTTAAGTCCGAGATGACCATAACTCACCTAGATGCGCGATGTTTTGGTCGTGCAGCGCAGCCAACCCTCGCAGAGTGTCTCGGAGTACGCGCTTCTGCACGGAAAGAGACAGGTCCTTGAAGGCGAAATTGAGAAGATGGTCCGTCATGTACTCGTTGACGAACATCTTCATCTCCGGGACGGTGTCGCGAAGAGCCCTCAGATAAGGCGAGTGATTGAATCTGAGCTGTAGAGGGAGCGCATAATTGTACTCGTTCTCAAACAGACTCTTCAAAACAAACATCTTCTCATTTGCCCTAGATGAGAAGGGGTGTTAAGTCCGAAGCCCCACACTTCAGAGATAGAGATGGGGGAAGAGGGAAAAAAGAGCCTCAGCTTACCTCGCCAGATAGACCTGACGGTCCTGTCTGTCCTGCAAAACATTCTCGATGGTGTATTCGCGGCCGGAATATCCCTTTAATATGACACCAGGTTCGAACTGGCTGGCGCTGTGAGGGACGATGGTGCTGGCCTTGCGAATGTTGACTCCGAGTTGAGGTCCGGTGCTGTGCGATGATGCAGTGGATAAATGAGCACGGCCAAGCTTCGATAGGGGTTGTTTGAGCGCGGTCAAAGCTGCCGAAGAGACGGCGCTGCCACGCATGGTATCCTGATGAAAGGGTAAAAGAAAAGAGGACTGGGTAAAAAAAGGTCGAAAAAGGAAATATCCGATTCGTTACAACTTCCTTCACAAAGAGAAGAAACGAACGAATGTACTATTTTTGTTATGTCGGTGGGAAGAGTCAAAGCTGCATTGAAAATGTCGCAAAAGTCTCAGAGCTCAGAGCTTTTCCCCCCGGGTCAAGGTTGGGTCAAGGTTGGCGTGCACACACCGAGTTTATCGAAACGCCGATGATGGGGAGCTGCAGGTGCTCTAGGTACCTACCTACCTAGGTAGGGGACTGGACTGATTGCTAGCTTGGCTGCTTGGCTGGGCGAACCCCCACACCCCCGTATAAGCAGGGCTGGTTGGGTTGGTTTAGTGGGTTCACGTGGCGAAAAGTGCTGCAATTTCTGTCTCGTCTGTCAGCTCGATGCATTAATCTCGCCAATTCGCGAGTTGTTCTGGCCGTACTGTGAGCGGCTACAGTGTACGAATTATATTCGCACGCAGTACAAGGTCGGATACACTGATTGACGAGCGCTTCTTGGTCGGCGTTACGAAATTAGTGAGATGAATTCGTAAGTCTACCAGTTGTAACAAAATCTTTTCTGATGGGTTGTCGCAATCGATGTTTTCATTAACAAAAAGCTGGTATGCAATCGATTGGAATGTGGTCCACGGGTATCTAATATCTTTTTAGTTTAGACTTGAAGCGGTGCTTCTACTTTCAAAGATACCAAAACGCCGGGAAGAATGAGCTACTAGGTAGCAATTTAAGGGTCCAAGCGAAAGGCAGTAAGGGAGACGGAGGATAGGCCGAACAAACACTAACAAAGCCTAAATACGTACATAGCATCTATGAAGAAACTTAAAACAATCCCATCAATCTAAAATGGCAATGGATGAAGTATTAGTCATCTCGAGGCCTGTTGATTGGTGGAGCACAGCAGCGAAGCGTAGGTTCCGGCATGTACCACTGACATCATATGACGTCCCCGCCACGTGAAGCACAATAAGGCAAATCTTACCACAGCATCGGTCGGGCAAGGTTAGGTAACTCCGTGAAGTTATCTGCGACGCCCCTCAATTTTACCAAATTCAAAACCCGAAGTGTCCACGAGAGACCGAGAATATTCGCATATACCTAATCGTCAAACATGTACGGAATGGAGGTAGAAATATCTAGAATTGAAGATATGACCTAATCAATTCTTTCCGCCCGATGTTTTTGCCTTATTCGGGCATTCCTGTTGTTCCTAGAACACACGGTCCAAATCCAGCAGCTAGTAGGCGACGGCCAATATCCAGTCAGCCTGTCCATGTTGCAATCTCGCCTCTATGCTGACCCAAATCCATCCTCAAACGAAAGTGACAAAAGAGAGTTCATCATTCAATTCGAGCCCGTCCTAGCCGGCCTCGACCCATACGTCCCGAATAACTTATATACACCAAGAAAGTAGTTTCACGCTATTGTACAGAAAATGTGGGTTGTCAAAACAAAGCCCTATCGTAGCAGCTTATCGTACAGAAATAGGTAAAACACGTTGACGTCGACGTTGACGCAAGACGGTTCCCGTATTTACTGGGACGGGACTAAAACATCGAGTTTGTTAGCATCTGGAACTAGCAGGGTAGAATCGATCGGGTAGGGAAAATTTTACTAACCTTTGATCTTGCCGTCCTTGATATCCTTGATGGTGTCCTCGGCGGGCTTGCCGTCGACCTTGGTGCCCTTCGCCTTCTCCGACTTGAGCACGGCCAGGACGTTCGACTTGAACGGCTTCTTGCCGCCGGTGGGCTGCGGCAGCTTGCGCGCGAGATCGTAGACTTGGTTTAGGGTGACGTCGTTCTTGTCGTTGCCCTCCGGCGCCTTGCGAGCGACGTTCTCTTCCGCGCGCTTCTGGGCGTCGCCGCCGGTAGTCTGGGCAGCTGCGCTAGAGGTGGTCGTGGTCGTGGCCGTGGTCGATCCTTGCTGCCCCTTGCCGTGCTTGCCGCCGCCGTGGTGGCCGCCAGTCGGGTGAGGGACGCCGCCAGTCGGGTGAGGGACGCCGCCAGTCGGGTGAGGGTGGCCGCCGTGGGGACCAGTGCCGGTAGGGAAAGGGGGAGGGTGTTGGTGGTCCTCAGCGCGCTCTTGCTTGTGGTTACCGCCAGTGGGCTTAGCATGTCCGCCTGAGTGCTTGTGGTGGCCGCCGGTCGGGTGAGGGAAGCCGCCAGTCGGATGAGGGTGGCCGCCGTGAGGACCAGTGCCGGTAGGGAATGGAGGCGGGTGCTCATGGTCCTCACCGCGCTCATGCTTGTGGTGACCGGTGGGCTTAGCATGTCCGCCTGAGTGCTTGTGGTGACCGCCAGTCGGGTGCGCGTGACCACCGGTGGGGTGGGGGTGGCCGCCGTGGTGACCAGTGCCGGTAGGGAAGGGAGGAGGGTGCTCATGGTCCTCAGCGCGCTCATGCTTGTGGTGACCGGTGGGCTTAGCATGTCCGCTCGAGTGGTGACCGGTGTGCTTTCCGGTGTGGTGCTTTCCCTTGTGGTGACCAGTTGGGTGCGCGTGGCCCTTGTGTTCAGTGTCTCTCACCCACGGTGCCGCGCCGCCGGGGCGTTGTAGACCGCCGGTGGGGTGAGGAAGACCGGTAGGCGGAGGTAAGCCACCGGTCGAGAAC